GGCCATGGCAGGCTGCTTCTATTAAAATACATGAGGACATAGCCTAAGGATTCCATATCGTCCCGGCGACTCTGTTCAATGCCCAGATGCGCATTGATGCTAGTATATCGGACGGTCCCTGTAAGGTTTAAATCTTCTCTGTATGGTATGTGTTGCTTTGTCTTGTTGTCTTTGTACTTTTTGGCCAAACTGAAATCAATAAGGAATAGCTGCTTTAATGCTGATAAAGATGTGCTCTGGGAAGTACTTGCAGCCGTGCTGCTCCTTTTCGTCTTTCCTGTTGTTTCAGAAGATTTATTACAGTGACGTCTGCTGCCCATGAGGAAGTTCTGGGGTTTGATGTCTCGGTGTATAAAGTTCTTTCTATGCATATATGCGATTCTACAGATCATCTGATCAGCTAACATGAGCACAGTTTTGATGGTAAACCTCCGGGAGCACAGGTTAAAGAGATCTTCCAGGCTGGGCCCCAGAAGGTCGGTGACCAGCGCGTTGTACTCTCTTGCCTGCCCGTACCACCGCATGCGGGGGATGCCCACCCCGCCCTCAAGGATCTTATACAGCTTGCTCTCGTACAGCAGCTGCGGGTGCCTGGCCTTCCTGGGCTCTAATTTCACCGCCACCTCCTCGCCATTGGTGACGCTGATGGCCAGATAGATGTCACCGAAGGAGCCAGCCCCGATCTTCCTTACGAGTTTGTACTTCTCATCCACACCACCACGAAATCGTCCTGGGTGGCGGTGCTGCTGCTGGCCATCTTGGGTGACAAAGACGGAGCCTGGGCCCCGCCCAGCGCCTCAATGCCTGAGAGAGGAGGACGAGAGCCTCCGGCCTGGCCCCCCGAGAGCGGTGGAAGGGAAGGAAACATGTTGGGCAGCTGACGTCACAGGGCCCCCGAATTCGAATTCGCCCAGTGAAACCCTATCACCGCTGCCCAGTCAGGTATCTACAGTTTAGGTGGGGTTCTCCGGTTCCCAGGCTGGGCCTCTGGTGTCAGGGCGGCCGCCAGGGCCTCACCTTTTTCGCAGCGACGACGTCGCGGGCTGGAAAAGGGGTGCGGTGAGTTAGGGCGGTGATACCACCACCGCCACTGCTGCCGGCTCCCGCCTGGACGGACCCCTCAGTCTGCCGATGCCGCCATCTTGTTACTCCGACTCCAGCCAACCTTTTTTTTATTATTATTTTTGAACTTATTGAATAGAGGTTTTACGTTTACTCTTCTAAATTAAAAAATTCAGGTGAATGGAAACTTTTGAATTAAAAACAATTACATTGCTCATAACTGAAACTAATCCCAATAATACAGTATTCGTCAGACTTCTCTGTCTCATCTTAAAGATAAGGTCTTAAATTTCTTTTTGACTTTTAGGAATGAATTTTCCATGTGTGATATAAGTTGATTTGAGCCTAAGGTATTTTCTTGCTAGCCTGGTAGAGGACAATTCTATTTCGCCTGACCCCTCTAAACTGAGAGTGCTGATAAATGTGTGCTTACTTCCCTATGGCTTCTAATTTTAAACACAAAAAAGCCATTTCTGAGGTCTAAGAAGAACAACACTTTTTAAAATATATATATATTTTATTGATTTTTTACAGAGAGGAAGAGAGAGGGATAGAGAGTTAGAAACATCGATGAGAGAGATGCATCGATCAGCTGCCTCCTGCACACCTCCCACTGGTGATATGCCCGCAACCAAGGTATATGCCCTTGACTGGAATAGAACCTGGGACCTTTCAGTCTGCAGGCTGGCGCTCTATCCATTGAGCCCAACCGGTTAGGGCAGAACAACACTTTTGATCATAACTGGGGAATATGTTAGCTGTGCATCATTAAATATCTTTCATTTCCATTCATGCTTTAGTATCAGAGTCACTAGGATGGAATAGTCACAAACATGGACTCTGAATCCTTATAATTACTTGAGTTTAAATCTCAGCTCTATCATTCTTTAGCTATGTGACCCTAGGCAAGTTACTTAAGCTCTACATACTTCAATTTCCTTATCTCTCAAATTGTGATAACAGTGCACACCTTATAGGAATGGTGTGAAAATTAAATAAATTACTATACACATAGCACACACGTAAGCACATAGAAAAATGTCTGGCACATATAAGTGCTTGTTATTAGTGAATATTATATGATTAACTTTATTTTATTTTTTTCAAAAAATATATTTTATTGATTTTTCAAAGAGCGGAAGGGAGAGGGATAGAGAGTTAGAAACATCAATGAGAGAGGAACATCGATCAGCTGCCTCCTGCTCACCTCCTACTGGGGATATGCCCGCAACCAAGGTACATGCCCTTGACCGGAATCGAACCTGGGACCTTTCAATCCGCAGGCCGATGCTCTGCCCACCGAATCAAACCGGTTAGGGCTGATTAACTTTTATTGCTTACTACGGATATAATGGCGAACAAAATAGATAATTCCCCTGTCCTTGTGGATCTTACAGTCTTGTAGAGAGGATAGACATTAAACAACATTTAAATACTTTTTAAAGTTAGAGTTGTGATTAGTATTACAAGGGTGCTTATGAGCATGTTTAAGAGGGAAATCTACTCTATCCAGGTAATCAGGAAAGACATCTCAGCTGCAGTGTTGATATTTAAGCAGTGGTATGGAGAATGAGTAAATTAGTCTAGGGAAGAGGGCTAAGAGAAGGAGGGCAAAGAGGAGGAGAATGAGTGGATCCAGGATAATTTGATAATCTATAATAGGTGTGTAGGGGGCTCAGCCTGCAGGACAACATTCTTAGCAGGAATTGAGGCTGCCTACAGGGAAGGACTATAGTCATTTGCCTTTTGGAAACAAATCTTATCCCCTGGGAAATGTGAAGTGAAATGGCACAGGCCAGAAGAAGGTGACTGCTGAGGGCTACATTTTATCAACATAGGTTAAAGCATTCAGGAAGATATTTTTCAAGGAAAAGTCAAGGAATCACACAAAAGTGGACAAGTTGCCTTTGCAGCTGAATTTTAAGATGGCCTTGAACACTTAAGAAATCATATTTGCTGTACATATATGAATGGTTGAATAAGGAGACCTCAATTGCTCAAATGTATTCCTGGCATGTACAGCCTTAAATTAGAGGGTCTAAATAAAGCTGTGGCCTGCCCTTTCTGAAAGTTTGCCAACCACTGATATAGATCATGTGGGACATGGGGCCTCATCTAGGCTGATTTTAGGACAGACATTGGAACTTGCTTTCTTGCTGAAATGTCTGACATCAGCCCTAATTTTTAGTCATTGTATCTCTTTCTCTAAGACACAAAGTACTGAGGGCCCTCCAGGAGGACAGGCTGTATCTCCTGGAGGCTAAATAGTTCCTTGTTTAGAGAATGAATGATTGATTCCTGAGCCCAAGCAATCTGCCCCAAATTGTGTTTTCCCTCTTCATAGACACATTATCTTCATGCCCTTTGACTTTGGAGCAACATGTGAAGCGTTCTTTTAGTTTTGCATCAGTAAACACTTCAGACCTCCCAGGCAGCTCCAAGTCATGCTCCACATCACCTTGTTTGGAAACATCACCATCTGGTGGATTTCACTGTTTCTGCTTTCAAAGATCTGGCTATATTCTGCCAATTGAGGGCATCCGTGACTTGCTGAATATTTCAGCTGCACACGACTCTGGGATTGGTATTTGAGAAAGCCAGGGTTGAGGGGCAAATAAGGAAGAATGTACTATGCTTCATGCTTCGAAGCTGAAATCTTGGCACACAGTCTGCTGGATACATACTGCTTGGTTGGCTTTTCTCAGAAGCACAATGTGCACACCCCATACCCCTTCTCTTAAAAGAGTTTCATTCTACCTCCACAAACCTGGATTACCTTTGCAAGGATCATAGAAAACCTTCAAGGAGTGGAATAAATAAGTTGTGTCCTTTCCTTCATAGCTGATTGAAATTCAATCCCTGGAATCTGATAGGAGGCAAGACTGCCTTCTTTCAAATACAGGCTCTCCTTGGTATGGTCAATCACAAGGGCCTTGGGTCAAATGACCTACTGGGAAGCCCAGTGGAGACACATGCTGTGGGAACCACACTGCTCTCCCTCTTCTTAGCCAAAGCATTAATGAAGTATCTTGAACACTGTCTTTCATTACTGTCAGTGTAAGAAGCAGAAACACAGCTATGTTCAGTCCTGAAAGAGTATCTGCTCAAGTAAAAAATGTTCGGGCTTTATAGTGAAACAGACTTGTATTCAAATCTCACCTCTTTCACATACAGCCTGTGTGAATGAAATAAAGACACATCTTCATGTAAGCCCTGATACTTCTGTTCCCTAGCAGCAAGTAACTCAATCTCTCTGAGCATTAGTTTCTTAATCTGCAAAATGGGATGAACACAGCAGCTACTTTATGCAGTTGCAATGAAATTTAAATAAGAGAGCAATGGTGCTGTAATTCACCCACCTTATAATTTAAAAATATAATATTTTAATTTATTTGGGGTTTTGTTGTAGTTTTGACAATAAGTGTTTAAATCTCTTTCTTGCTGTCTAAGCCAAAAGCCATTACTCAGAACATATTCATATTTAGAATGATGTTCTCTGAATAAAGCATTTATTTAGTTTCCAACAAAAGTATTTTTTTTTAAGACTCAAAGAATCATGTTTAAATTCGGAATCTACTTGAGATATAATGATCTGATTTATTTAGAATAGTCTTTCTCAAATTTCATTTTTTTCCTAGATAGCAGGATCCATTTTTCAAATAAATTCTCACTTGGAACCCCAATATGTTAAATAAAAGCAAAGATGCAGGGGTTGGAGCTAGAGCTGAAACTGAAGGGAAAAAAGTAGGATTCTATTTGGTTTGCACTTGAGTGTAATCTCTAGAGCATCATGTGTTTTGCCTGTTTTCTTCACTGCTGCATCTCCAATGTCTATAAAAATACCTTACATTAATGGGGCTCAATATATGTTTTTGAATGCGTAATGGATGAATAGCATATGAAGAAAGCTGGCATATAATAGGCACCCAAGAATATCTTAATACCTCTTACTTAACTAAAATCTTGCAGGAAACTGAGTGATATGTTGTTGGTGTGAGAATAAGAATTTCCACCTTGGAGAAGATTCATGTCCTCCCCTGTCACACACCTACCTTGTCATTCCTCTTTCTGTTTTTCTCATAAATCAGTTAGGTGTGAAATGAGATACTGCCTGTGCAGGGGGCATAGAGAAACCAGACAGTGACTTTGGCATCATCACTACTTTCTCACCTTCTCAATAACCTCTGGGCAAATGACATAGCTTGCAAAAATCACACTGAGCACCCAGTGAAACACAAATATGAGCCACAATTAAGCAAATAATCCTGAGAAAGAGTACAAAGCAAGAGGCATTACACTTCTTTATTTAAAACTATATTACAAAGCTATAGTAATAAAAACAATGTGGTACTGGAATCAAAATGGACAAATATAACAATAGAACAGAATCAAGAGCTCAGAGATAACCCCTTGCTTATATGGCCAACTAGTGTTAGACAGGGGACTCAAGAATACTCAGTGGAGAAAGGTTAGTAATCCTATATAATAAAAGCCTAATATGCTAAGTGTTCTGTCATCCATTCAGCCAATCAAAACATAATTTGCTAATGATATGCTAAGGCCTCTCAACTGCTCACTATGATTTGCACTAACTGCCACGAGGCAGACAGTTGACCAGTAGGTTAGCTTGCTGCTGGGTTTTGGGTGATTGGGACTGAGCCAGATAGGCTGGACACACCCGGGAGCCCTCCCACATTCCTCTCCAGCTGGCCAACCTCCTGTGTCCCTCCCTGGCCCCAAACATGTACTGGTAGGGTCCTTCGGCCTGGCCTGTACCATCTCACAATCTGGGACCCCTTGGGGGATGTTGGAGAGCTGGTTTCAGCCTGATCCCACTCAATGCAGGAGGTGCCCCCTGTTG